GGTGGGGGGGGTGGCTGAGACGGGTCAGCAGTGGCAGCGAGGATCGGCTTGTGGTGGCATTCCCGGGAGGGACAGCAGGAAAACTTCTCCCCTCCCTGCTCTGCTCTCTGGGCTGCTGCCCAGTTTCTGGCACTCGGAGGATCAGACCCATGCCCACGGTTTCTCTTTGAGAGAGGCTCCTTATGCTGTTCTTCACATCTTCAGTGGTTTCTGCGGTGGCTTTTGGGAAGCTGAGAAGCTGGTGTGAAGAACATGAACGCTGTGTCTGATCAGTGAAGGCTTGATCCAGGAACAGTTTGTAGACGCTTCCGAGGAGCTCCAGTCTCATGCGTGTGAGTGCTCGGGTGGCTTTGGCCCTTGTCCAGCTCCTGCTTAGGTCCCTTGGATGGTACTCAGTGTTGTTTCTTTTGTCCCCCTTGAAAACTAGGCCATGGCAAAGTCATGAGAAGGGGTTTTCTTCTCCAGGGAAGCATGTGCCTGGTGAGCGGAGCCGGAGGCAGTTTCCACCAGGCTGGGAGCACACCGGGGTGCTGGGACTGAACAGCACCTGTAGGAAACTCCTTCAGGGCTGGAGGTGGACTTTGATTAGCAGTTGGTTTTCTTGAAGGTCCTCTTGAATTAGTGAAGGCTGCTCTGACTGAAGCATGGTGCTAGGAAAGGGCAAGACATGCAGTAATTAGGCAACCATTGTTGAGCTGAAATGAGCCTCTGGTAGATAATGGCTTTCTTGTGATACACAATTTGCACAATAAGATCAGGACCAGTGGCACCTTCATGGTCCAGTTGTTTGCTGCGGAGCTGTTTGGTGTCAGTGGAGGATGCTGGGCTTCAAGAGTTTTAAACCATCTCCATACAGCCTTTAAAACACTGGTGAGCATCATGGAGGGATGCGGAGTAGAGCTGTCTCTGCCGGGCGTGCTGTGCACCGAGAAGGGGGTCTGCAGTTGGAGCTGGGCGCAGAGCCCGGTCCTGTGCATGATGCTGCCACAGAGCCAGGGTGCCACCAGCCTGCACCCTGGTGGGCCGGCCAACGTGGCAGCTCCTGCTGAGGAGCAGACCAGCCTGGTGGGATGCCCATGGCTGCACAGGCGAGTTCAGACTCTTGTCTTCACCTCAGCTCCTCAGTTTGGCCCGGCTCTTGGCAGCGGTGTGGGTTCGGAGGCTTTGTGCTGTGCTGAATCCTCTGCGGAGAGGGATTAATCTGTTAATTGGATTTCCAGTTGTTTTGGGTAGATGCTTCCTGCAGCAGTGGAGATGCTGATACAGATCCTGCGAATGTCAAAGGTTGTCGCAGTGTTCAATGTGTGATCAGGGACCACCGGAGCTGACGGTGGCTGTGGTGCCCAGTGTCTGCTGGGGACCTGCCAGAGCAGTGCCCAGAAAAAATGAAGCTGAACTCCAGGAAATATTTGCCTGTGGTGGGTGACTTGGTGTCCCTGCAGTGAGGTCCCTCTGCCTGTGGAGATGAGCTCCTGGCTGCAAGAGCAGTGGTAATCTTGTTGCTTGATCCTTTTAAAATTGAACTTAATGATGCATTTAATGGCTTGTGGGTAATGACTTTGCACTGGTGGAAGAATGGAT